GAGTATAGAGACGATAACTGAGTATAATATATTTCTCTTATCAGACTCACGTAAAATATCATGTATTCTTGGATCTTATAATTAGGTTTGGTTAGGTCAGGTTAGCATTTGGTTAGGTTAAGTTAGCGTTTAATTAGGTTAAGTCCGCATTTGGTTAGGTAATATTAACGTTTGATTAGGCAAGGTTAGCGTTTGGTTAGGTTAAGTCACCGTCTGGTTAGGTTTGGTTAGGTTAGGTTAGCATTTGGTTGGGTTAGGTTAGGTTAAGTCACCGTCTGGTTAGGTTAGCATTTGGTTAGGTTAAGTCACCGTTTGGTTAGGTTAGATTAGCAGTAGTGTAATCAACCCAAAGGTGAAATAAACAAGGGTGCCTGATCTTCACGTGATTTATACCTCCCTCCGTAAATACAACACACCCAGGTATTAATATTCCCTGCCCTCCCGCCTCACCCTCCGCCCACCCTTTTAATCCACCGATCATTACCCCCCAACCCCCTAAAAAAATGAGAAGGAATAAATCAACCACAAGAATAAATTAGAGCGCTTTATTCTACCTATTCCAGTCAGCCAAATTGACCATAAGAATGATTTAGACCGCTACAAGCACCCTTTTCTTCTCTTCAACGGCTCAATATTCATCAGTGTACGTATAGATCTCGAGCACACACACACACACACACACACACACACACACAGGTGAGTTTTTTCCCAACGCTTTCCCTTGCCGCCCGCTCACAACCACCTGCCCTGCCCCCGCTTATGATGAATCGCCAACTAAACCTCATTTGCAGTCCAGTTATGCCTTCCTATTCTGCTGCGTCTTGTTTGTCCTACAGCAAGAAGTCCGCAGTATGGTATATTATTGGGGGGGAGATTGGGTGGATGGGGTGAAGAGGGGGAGATGGGTGGGTGGATTGTGGGTTAGGGGAGAGGGGAGATGGTAGAGTGGGAAAGGTGAGGGGTATCGGCTAGAGGTGGCAGGTGGGAAGAGGTATCAGGTGAAATCTGTGTTGGTGTAAAATACTTCGAAAGATTTTATCATTGAGTGTAATATGAACCTGTTGGCTGGTGTTAGGATTAACTTGACGTACGTGTATAAAAGTCTTAGTTGTTTCTATACGGAGATACACTATATATGCGTTGTAATTAGTTGATACATTTTCAGTAGTTAGTTCTGTAGTGTATTAATTTAAGTGTACGTGATTTTATGTTTCTTTTAGAGGTTCAAGGACAGACATAACACAATGACAACAACAGAAATGTGATATAATATTTCCACAAGGTTGTATGAATAAAAAAATCGTAACGTGATATTTAAGAGTTGTTACGGATTTTAAAAACAATGATATAGTGACTAATACTAAAACCAAAAGACACTTGATGGTTGAGAAGCCAATACATTATGTACTTGTGAAAGACCCTTGATGATTCTGACCTTATAAATTTTAAAACCAAAGACAATGAAATAAAGAAATAAGAATTATAATTAAGTCTTTTCATTGATTTATTATTGATACTATGACTGAACAACCGGTGATTATTGACCTTTGATACACTTAAAATAAACACAACTTGATATAATTTTCTCAAGTTTTAAATGCCGTGTCATATAGAAAAGAAACTTATAGTGAACACCGCTTAATAACTCACCCCGCTTTAGTACGTGATATAACGAATAACAATAATGAACGTTCGCGTATGTATGAATGGATGTATGTATGAATGTATGTATGTATGTATGTATGTATGTATGTATGTATGTATGTATGTATCACTGATTGACTTTCTCTCTGGTTATTATTATTCATCCATATAACTGAGTCTTATTTCCCCTTATTTCAACTATAAGACTTATTTATTCTGCTTCCTCTTATTTCCTATTATTAATAACACAGTGGACTTGTATTATACTCACTGTGAGACTTATTTCGTCCCGTCAGTAATTTAATCATAAGCTCTATACTAATTTCCTCTTGGCGATACTGTGTCATTTTTTTCTTCTCCTATTTCAAGTAAATTTCTTTGTGTGTGTGGCTATTTTAATGGCTGTATATGTGTGTCTGTAATGCCAATTTAATATAGTTTTCTTTGTTTATTATATACCCAATTTTCAATATGTTGTTTGTTATATTATAGTTCCCTATTTTAATATAGTTTTACATGTCTATAATGTTAGCTATTTCTTAATTTTTCTATAGTTTTGTGCCTATTATATTATGATAACTACAGTATATAGCTCTGACTCTGATATTTTCCCATTTTAATATAGCTTTGTCTAAAATGTCTAAGATGTCTAAAATGTCTAAAATGTCTACAATGTCTAAGATGTCTAAGATGTCTAAAATGTCTACAATGTCTAAGATGTCTAAGATGTCTACAATGTCTAAGATGTCTAAAATGTCTAAAATGTCTAAAATGTCTTAATATATCCCCAGATTATCATAGTTTTAGGTACGTTTTGCTTCCTGTCCTAATATGACATCTAATACAACTTATTCTAACATAGATACTGCATTAATACTGCCAATACCGGACAGTTACCATTACCCCTACCACGTTACCACTCCCAATACCGGACAATTACTATCTTCACCATCGCATTACCACTCCCAATACCGTACAGCCATCACCACCATCACATTATGACTCTCAATACCGTACAGCCACCACCACCACATTACCGCTCTCAATACCGGACAGCCACCACCACCACATTACCGCTCTCAATACCGGACAGCCACCACCACCACCACATTACAACACTTGGACAACACCACCACATTACTCTCAACACCGGCAGCCACCACCACCATACCGGACAGACAGCCACATTACCACACTGACACCACCACCACCACATTACCACTCTAATACCGACGCCACCACCACCACATTACCACTCTCAATACCGGACAGCCACCACCACCACATTACCACTCTCAATACCGGACAGCCACCACCACCACATTACCACTCTCAATACCGGACAGCCACCACAATACCGGACAACAGCTATCACCGGAAGACTAATGATCATAATACTTCCTACATAATTACAGACAACCTTCACTAGACAAACATACTCATATATAAATAAGTACTGAGTATCCGTACACATGCCAATACGTTTGAGTACTAATGGTTTCTGTGTGTTCATAGCGTGTGTCTCAGGTTAAAAGTTCTCACGCATGTTCAAAGGACCAATTTTAGTCTGTTCTTGATGTTCATTGGTTCACGTTATGTTTGTTCAGTCCGGGTGTGTTCTTTCGTTAATTTATATATTATAGTATAGATGTGTTTAAGAAGTCAGTATATAGAATAGGTATTTCTTGTAAATGTTGCAATCGTCACCTAACCTAACCTAACCTAACTTCACCTAACTTAATCTCACCTAACGTAACCTAACCTAACCTTAATCTAACCTAAACATCAAAAAATTAATATAAAAAAAAAACATTGATAAGACTCACACGCAATAAAAAATAAAACAATCATATAACAGAATAGCCAATGAAAACAAGACGTTACAATAGAGAGCCAATCAAAATATTACTCATAAATAACAAAAGTCAATGAGAACAACTTTTAAGGTCACGTAGCCAATCAGAGTACGACACGCAAGACCCTGGGAAAAATATAATCTTTCTCACGATATAAATATAGAGAAAGACGTATATTATTAATGAAGTAGAATAAACAAAACTATACTAATTGTATTAACTCACAAAACTCAATGGTAAATATTTAACGTAGAAAATTATTAACTAGTCACAAATAGGAATAAATCAGCAGGTATATAATTATTAATAACTAGAGCGTAATAAAAGGTGATAATTATTGACATTTAAAAACATATGACTTAAAATATATGACGAGATTGAACGATAAAATAATCTATCAATGTAAAGTGTATAGTGTAAAGTGTCAATTTAAAGTGTAAGTGTTAAGTGTAGAGATGAACAAAAATAATTCAAATAAGTTCAAAATGTATAATAATCCAAACAAAATTATAAACAGGTGATCGATTACCTTTGACAATAACACAAATATTGATTATGGAACACCTTTAACTAACTAGAATCATCAGGTGACTAAAATTAAACCTTTATCGCAATAGGTGAATAATCCCTGGAACTATAATAATAATGAACATTGGTGAACAAAGTTAGAAACAATATATATTTGAATTAGAGCGAAAAAATTATTGAAATGTAACTAATGAACATGGTTGAACAAATCGTGGAACTAAAGCAATAATGAACATCGCTGAGCAATCTGTAGAATTAAAACATTAATGGATATCGATGAACAATCTGTAGAACTAAAACATTAATGAACATCGATGAACACTCTCAAGAACTAAAACATTAATGAACATCGCTGAACAATCTGTAGAACTAAAACATTAATGAACATCGCTGAACAATCTGTAGAACTAAAACATTAATGAACATCGATGAACAATCTGTAGAACTAAAATACAAAGGAACATCGATGAAAAATCTCTAGAACTAAAACATTAATGAACATCGCTGAACATCAAGAGACAATCGTAACATAAACATCAGTATCGAAAATCAGTAAAACAAAGCATGCAAAAGGTGTAAATATCTGTTCAACGCAAAGGTGAACAAAAATAACATACGTGAACACCAATAACAGAACGAACAGTAGTATCTCCAAGGTGCTCTGGGCGCTGTCATAAATATAATCTGTTCTGAGTGTGAACAATAACAACATATCTCACTTGAACATATAAATTAACTCTTCATTTGATCTCCCTTAAAAAAAAAAATTCAAATTCTGTCTTGAACAATAAAAAAAAATTAAGAACAAAAACTTATTTCTCTCCTGATGTTCCATAAATTTAGAACACCCCCTCCCCATCCCCCCCCCACCCCCCCAAAAAAATCTATCCAAAAACAGAAATGAACAACAAAGAAGAGCATTAAGAAACGTAAAATTAATGGTTAAGAAACAAAGGGGGGGAACTAACTTACTGTTTTCCAATCCTCCTCTCATCTTAGGTTTAGCAGCAGAGCTACAATAGACAGCCAGCAGCAGAAGCAGTAAGTAGACAAAACACTGAGCCATGGTGACACGCTTTCTCCCCTGTGCTAACGTAAATCTGTCACTCTTTTTAAGTCTCACTAATGTCCACCTGGGTGTTATTGATGGTGTCGTGGGTCTCAGTTTATAACACAAAACATCAATATTTAGTCAATTATCGAGACACATCAATTATACTTCGTTCTTGATCTTTTTTTTTTTAATTCACTCGACTGTATTATTCTACTCAGCTGTTATTTGGTCCTAGAATATTTATAATACTCAATATGCTGTTTTTGTTTTGATTTTTTTTATAGCTAGGAGTCACTTCAGTAAGTTAACTCCCAGGTCATAGATAAAATTTGGAATATTTAACTAATTCCCTCTGGCAGGTACGATTGTCAGTAATTTAGGTTTGTCTTGTCATTAAAATACAATTGGAAGAAATGCCACTTCACTCAGTACACCAAGAGATGTAATTTTCAAGTAGATCAATCAGTTGTTTGAATGTTGCTCCTCGCAATCTGAAGGTCACCTCATTCACACACAGAATCAGACCATGCACCTTTATGGTCTAATTGTCTTTTAACTGAGTGAAAAGTATCTCAGTAAGGTGTTTTTCTTAGAGGTATCCCACACGCGTCATTCACCAGTTGACTGAGTGAGTGAGTGTCACGCCGGTCAGTAATACGTGATGATAACCACTTAACTGACTGACTCAGTAGCAATCCACCGCACTGACTTTCAACACTGACATCACTTGCTGGAATTACTTAACTGAGGTTTAAATATCAATTCACTGAACAACTTTTCTATGGTTAACAATTCCAATTTTCTGGTTTTTCTAATAATAAGTTACTAAAATAATTAAAAACCGTCTTGTTGGTGTATGTAAGTCAGTGGTTGGGTGAGTAAAGTATAGAATTATCAATAAGCTGCCATCTTGTCCAGGTTATGGTATCAACTTGAAAAATAATTCATATTAAGCACCGTTTATGATTCCACTCCACTGACTGTAAATTAATAGGTATCTTCAGGTGACTTTTGGGTTTTTCTAATAAATTTCTGGCATTGGAAACTTTTCAGACAACAACATAACTCTCGGTCAATAAGAACAGCACAAAATTGGTTTCGGTAACACATTATTATCTCCTCCTTCTTCTTCAGGTGTTGTTCAGGCACCATACAACGTTCTCGAAAGTTATTCCCGACATGTTAATGAATGTTTGTCAGGTGACCAACACACACCTCCATCGTATTGTTCTTTAGTGCCAAAAATTCCAGCATTTTTTTTCTATCAATGTTTTTATTTATTTTTTTAACTCGATGTGAAATAATTTAACACATCTTAGTGAAAATATGGTTTAGGTCTTTTCTTCCTCCATTATTTTATTAACTGTTCACTTAATTACCTGTAAAACACCTGCCATTTTAATACGCAGCTGTAGTCACTAGATTTTCATCAATACATCAGTTGTATAAGACTGTTCATGTATACATACACATATTTCTATACTGTATACCGCAACACATTTATGTATCCACAGTCATACAGATATAGTTTCTATTACAATATTAACTTTTATCCAACTTTGTCAATGTAATGATAACAAGCTCAGATCGTGCCACTTGTAATGTAGATCTACGGTTTAAGTGTTATCCATCGATGCAGAATACATCGTTCAATGATGAATTAATGATCGCATCTCAGAGTGCATTAAAAGTATCGTATAGTCATTGCCAAAGCTTCCCTACCCCCTCCGACGATTATTTGAAGGACCATGATTTGAATGATGAGACAGGAGACGTATTCTTCCTGACGTGTCTCCTCCTGCTGCTACCGGCGTGAGATGTCAATACAGAGTTCTGGCGAGTAGTCACGAGGACAGACTAAAATGCTCCACTGTGGATGGTAAGAGAAGGGAGCGTGGAGTGAGAGAGCGAGGGAGCGTGGAGCTTAGCAAGTCACATCCTCCCCTCACCACGAGCCAGAGGTAACTGAACCTGTACCGAGTGACTAAGTCCCCTCACCCAGCCCACCCAGACACCCAGCCACCCAACCCATCCACCCACCCACTTCGCCACCCCGCTTCGTCTCGCCTCCTCGCCCTTGCCTTCCTCTTCTTCTTCTTCACGAGGTTGTGTGCAAATGACAAGGTGTATCTAGCTGTTCAGAGTACCATAAACTACTGTCGTTTGTGGGTCTGACGACGTAGAAACTGATCTTATGGCCAGAACACTGTGGTTGTGGTGGTGTTTATTGGTTTAATGAGCAGTGTGTGATTTATTAATTAGTGTTAATGAATTTTTAAGTGGTGTTATGGTTGTATTTGGTGTATAGTTTATTGGTGAATTGATATGGTTGTGTGGTGGTGTTATAGTTGTGGTGAATTATGAAAGTTTGTGTTGTGGTTTTTAGTAGTGTTGTAGGTTTGTGGTGGTGTTATGGATTTGTGGTGGTGTTATGGTTGTAATTGGTGTTATGGTTTGTGGTGGTGTTATGGTTGTGGGTGCGTGGCCCCATAGTTTGTGGTGGTGTTATGGTTGTGGTGGTGTTATGGTTGTGGTGGTGTTATGGTTTGTGGTGAGTGTTATGGTTGTGGTGGTGTTATGGTTTGTGGTGGTGTTATGGTTGTGGTGATTATTTATGGTTGGTGGTACGTTACTGGAGATGGTAGTGATAAGTCAGTTGTCCTGTCCTAATAGCCACCCCCCCCTCCCAAGCATAACAACCTAATCTAAACTTCCATTAAGTTGAAACCAGTTATAATGGACCCAATCCTGTAGACTCCCCGAACTTCATAATGGTTAGATTAGGTTAAGTTAGGTTAGGTTAATTTGGGGTCTATTACGACTAGTGCCTATTAGGACTTGAACCTATTATATCAGGGGCCCTTCTGACGTCTAGTACTGACAATAGGTGTTAGATCCCAGCTCTTTTTTCCACAGTATAATCTCCCATACACTAAGTCCACCACTGTAACACAACCCCCGGAGTGAGTGATGTAATACTGGTCTTATGAACCGGTTTTTATGTGAACTTTCCCCAACATCTGAACACTGAACAACTGAACAATTGAACAACTGAACAAATGAATAACTAAACGATGAACAACTGAACAACTAAACACTTAAAAATATGAACACTTAATAATTGAACACTTAACAACTGAACACTTTATAACTGAATAACTAAGCACTGAACAACTGAACAATTAAACATCTGAACAACTAAACAATTGAACAACTAAACAATTAAACAACAGAACACTTACTCTAACAACTGAACAACTAAACAACAAAACAACTAAAAAACTGAACAAATGAACACTGTGAACACTATAAACGAAATAAATCATGTATATTAACAAATCATATATGTATTCACCTATGCATTACGTATTGTTCATATTAACATAGATGCTAAGCCTAAACTATCATACATAATTCATACATAATTAATTCATATCATGGAAATACACTGGTTATATATACATAATCGTAGTCTTCGTATTAATAACTATAAGGTGATTATATATACCTGTTAGCTTTATACCTGTGGGTGATTAAATATACCTGTTAGCTTTATACCTGTAGGTGATTAAATATACCTGTTAGCTTTATACCTGTAGGTGATTAAATATACCTGTTAGCTTTATTCCTGTAGGTGATTAAATATACCTGTTAGCTTTATACCTGTAGGTGATTAAATATACCTGTTAGCTTTATACCTGTAGGTGATTAAATATACCTGTTAGCTTTATACCTGTAGGTGATTAAATATACCTGTTAGCTTTATACCTGTCGGTGATTAAATATACCTGTTAGCTTTATACCTGTAGGTGATTAAATATACGTGTACCTATATACCTGTAGGTGATTAATTCAATCAGGTGTAGTCATTATTATTATTCTATATATTATACTTTGATGATAATTACTAGATAATCACACAACTGTGGTTCACTCTGTATAATTAAGTCATGCAGGTGTTATTCTATGTATGTATGCATGTACTGTATGTATGTATGTATTTATGTATGCATGTATGTATGTATGTATGTATGTATGTATGTTCTGTTACGCACAGTTGACAGGTAGAGAAAGGTCTCTCTCTCTCTCTCTCTCTCTCTCTCTCTCTCTCTCTCTCTCTCTCTCTCTCTCTCTCTCACCATACACAAATAAACACACTCCAGAGTTTCCGACAGCGACGTGAGTAACAGCACAACACGTCACTGAAGGAACTCACGCCGGTTTAGTGCCACTCAGTGCGATATGAAGCCACTCATTCATGCCACTGATTCCGGGTTGTGTTAGTGGCTGCGAGGAGGTGGTGTAGAGGTGGTGGTGAGGGGAGGTGAAGTGGTGGTACTCGTAAGTGGCTGGCAGTAAGTGGTCGATCATTGAGTACTACTAAAGTGTGGTTGTTTTTATAGTGAGTAGTGGTTGAATGGTGAATGGTGATAATGGGTGGGTGGTGGGTGGGTGGGTGGTAGTGGTGGTGGTGAGGTGAGAGGTGGTGGTGTGGTGGTGGTGGTGGTGGAGGTGGTGGTGGTGGTGGTGGTGGTGGTGGTGGTAATGAATGATTGATGATGATGATGATGATGATGATTATGAGGAGGAGGAGGGGGAGGAGGAGGAGGACGAAAAGGAAGAAGAAGAATAGGAAAAGAAAAAGAAGAGATCGATAAAAAGACGTAGGTAGACGAAGAAGGGGAGATGTCACCCAGTGCTCGTTATAGTATAAATACCTGAATTGGTATTTAACTCTCTCTCTCTCTCTCTCTCTCTCTCTCTCTCTTTCTCCAGTTACATATCGAAGCCAAAATGCCACATATATTCATTCTTTGATCATTACTGTTGGACCGCGGCATTTGGCCAAACGAGTGGCCCTTAGTGTTACCTTCGTGTGGGCGGGAATGAGAGGAGAGAGGGATGGGGAAGGGAAGGGGGGGTAGGAGAGAAATGGAAGAAGAGAAGACAATAGAAAGAGAGTGGAAAGAAGAAAGAAGGGAGGAAGGGAAAAGACGAATGAAGAGATGGAAAAACGTAAGAGGAAAATGAAAGAAGGAAAGATTTCTCCCTAATCATTAATTACAATCATTCTTTTCAAATATTCATTAACTCCAGTCTTTGAAAATAAACATCCATTTCAGATTTAAAACTTGACTAATATATCATCAAAAATACTACATCTTCCCACCACTAGAACAGTAAACAAGGTTCCAATATTATTTCCGTCAACTTCATCAACAATGTGTTTCTTGCGTGTGAGCAGAAAGGCTTCAACTTCACTCTCCTTTCTCTGTTCTTTTTTAGCCAAGTTACTCAGACAAATTGGCTCTGATATTGTATATTTTCTTGGGGTATATATTTTATTCATCAACTTTTAGTTATTAGCAATTGTTAAGCATGAAGTAGAGAGAGAGGAGGAAAGGAAAGGAGGAGGAATGAGATTGTAATAGTTAGGCAAGCTACAGATAAACAGAAAACAGGCAGACAGAAATGCAGAAAGAGGAGAGGGGATATGTACTGTATGTGTCAGTCAGCGAGAGTAAAATTATCAGCCAAGGAGTCAGAAATAAAGTGTGTGTATCGATTAGAGAATATCAGACTATATTAAAAGTGGCAGACAGACAGACAGACAGACAGACAATAAATCACATAAAATCCGGTGTTTCATTATATATCCCTTAAACATTTAACATTACCTGTGTATACAAGGTAATTCTCTCAAGAGCTCAGTGAACCATTAGTCTAATATATCTTTCAACATCTGTATTAAAACGTGGTTGACCAGAGAGCTGAGGGATGATAGTGGTATGTTAAGCTTCACACTACCCAAGGGACATAGATTTAACCTCTTGTGTTTCCTGTAAAAAAAAATGTTATACAAGTTTTCTATATATTTTTATAACCTGTATTTAAGAAGATATACCTCCGGGTCTAGATATGAGGATATATTTCTTGAGGTTAAATGATAATGTAGGAGTTTTTGTGTTCAGTGTGATGGAGAGAAGGTAGGAGGGAGGAAGGGAAAGCAAGAGTGAGGGAGGAAGAAATGAAGGGAAGAAAAATGGTGAAGGGAAGAAGAGGAAAAAAAAAACTCCTGAGACCTGAAAAAAGAATCTCAATTGTTATCTAAAACATCAAAGTGGTGATCCTACCTGAAGATAAATATCCTTGCAATAACTTTCTATCTTCTACGCGTGTGACGACCTCTGCTCACTCCAAAGGTCAACAGACTCTAGTTAGCGAGTCAAGCGAGTCAAAGTGATTCCAGTGATTAGGTTCTTGGAAAGGTTCTCTGAAACATCAAGTGAAGAGAAGGAAAAAGTGTGATGTTGGATGATGATGGAGACAGAGAGACACTCCTGACGTGAGACAAAGAGACTCCTGGAGTGAGACAGAGACCTCTGACGTGAGACAAAAAAAGACTCCTGGGGTAACTAGAGGTTAGACAAAAAGACTCCTGGAGTGAGACAGAGAGACACTCCTGACGTGAGACAAAAAGACTCCTGGAGTGAGACAGAGAGACACTCCTGGAGTGAGACAGAGAGACACTCCTGACGTGGGACAAAAAGACTCCTGGAGTGAGATAGAGAGACACTCCTGACGTGAGACAAGGCGATTCCTGCAGTGAGACAGAGAGACACTCCTGACGTGAAACAAAAAGACTCCTGGAGTGAGACATAGAGACACTCCTGACGTGAGACAAAGAGATTCCTGGAGTGAGACAGAGAGACACTCCTGACGTGAGACAAAAAGACTCCTGGAGTGAGACAGAGAGTCACTCCTGACGTGAGACAAAGAGATTCCTGGAGTGAGACAGAGAGAGACCTGGTCAATAAACACGACACTTTAGTAGCAGTGTTTTAATGTGTCCCGGTCACGGATATACACTGCACCAGTCACTGTGCGGTGTTATGAACGACGCTCACTAGACGTTGAATGACATAATTTATAACAAAACATATAATACATTTT